AGCCAGGCACCCACCCAAACGCCCCACCACCACCCCCCGTGCGCTGTGACCGCACCGCTCAGCGCCCTGCATGGACCCTGCTGAGCACCCGCATCCCCTGCCCCATCCCACCCAGGGGTGAGCAGGAGGGCTTCACGCCCCTCACCTTGAGCCTGGGCAATGAGGAGGGTAGCAGCCAGCAGCAGCAGTGGCAGGAAGAGGCGCAGAGCCATGGCGGGTGCCACGGGTGCTGAGCTGGGCAAGGCTGGGGAGCAGGACACACGCTGCTGCCTTGTGCCGAGAGGGACTCCTATTTATCTCTGGATGATCCGCTTTCGTTTTCCAGCAGCTTTGGCAGGCAGCCCACCAGCCGGCCGAGGGCCGGGTGACGGAGAAACGGGAGGGTGGGGGATTCCTGTAAGCCACGAGCCCCCCTTTACGGACGCGTCCTGTCTTGTTCCCAGCTGCCCATCATGGCGCCAGTTGCCAGGTGGGGGGCATGCCGGAAACACAGCCCCCATCGCAGCTAGATGAGTTTGTGGGCTCCTGTTTCCTACTCGGTCTTGCAACTTGCCACTACCTGCTCTCGGTGGGTCAAGCGTTGCTTCTTGCACGCTTCTTCCCCAGACAGGGACCCTGGCAGGTGGCCAAGCCATTAAGGAAACCAAGAAGTTAAGTCTGTTCTGCTTCCCCACCTCATGCTTTGCTCCCAAGCCAAGCCACCCACCCCATGCAAGTGAGAAGGGGCTCAGGGTGACCCCACATCCCAGCTCCTTGAGCCCCCATCCCTGTTGGGCTGCCTCAGGGGCTAGCCCAGGCAGCTGAACACATCTTTAGGGCTGGGATGTGCAAGGGCCAGATTGAAAATGGGGCTGCAGGAGATAGCACAGCCTACCGTGCGTTGGTGCTGATACCAAATGGTGGGGAGCTGAGGATGATCAAGGACCTCGGCCAGCTGGAGGAATAGGCTGACAGGAACCTCCTGAGGTTCAACATAAACAAGATGAAAATTCCCATGAGTGAGATGGTGTGACCCAGTGCACTGGACAAGCTGGGCATGGCTAGCAAGACAGGGGCTATGCAGAAGTGGACCTGGGGGAGCTGAATAGGGTCCTTCAGGGCACCCCTGTGGTGGCAAAGGCCACCCAAAGAGATGGCCACATGGCTGGACCAAGCCCTGAGCAACCCAGTGTAACGCCAGTCCTACTCTGAGCAGGGGATGGCCAGAGACCTAGACATTTTCATGCAATCACCAGGATACAGTCTGAAAGAGACCAAGGATGGAGGTTTCACAACTGTTTTGGGCAACCTGCTCCAGTGCTTGAAAACTCGTGTTGAAAACATTTTCCTCATTATTGGAATTTCCCTTGACGCATCTAGTGTCACTGCCTCTCATCCCACCTCAGGGCCCCGGCACCTCACCAGCCCCCCTGGGCAGCTCTCATCAGCAAGGACCCCACTTTGCCATCCCATCCCCAGCTTCACCACCCCACTGCTCACAGCCCCTCTTCACCTGCCCCGACCTCCAACTCCTTGGCCAACCTCGCTCCTACTGCCTGTGTCAGCCGCGTCCTGGGAGCCCCAACAGGATGCAGAGCTGTGATGGGGTCTCCCCAATGCCGGTGAGGGCTGAGCCCCTTCTCCGGCCCCGCTGCCTGTGCCCTGGGGTGCAGCCCCATGACTTTTCACCAGTTCCTGATAAGGACCCTCATAAAGAGTTATCAAGGGCAATTTATGACCCAAGAGGAGACCAAAGTCCCAGCTGCTGTAGAAAGTAAAGCTGTGAAAAGATCCCCAGGCTCTTGTCTCCCTCAGTCGGGGGAGGAAATGCTGGAGTCATGTTGAGGGGCTCATCAACAACTGCCCCACGGCCCTCTCCTGGGCAAGGAGACTGGCAAGCTGCAGTGGCTTACTACCTTACTCAGGGACAAGCTGGGTGCCTGTGGCAGTATGGGACCCAGGGCTGTGCTCCCATGGCTTCCACCATCACTCATGCAGAAGAGAAAGGGAGCTCTCATGCTGGGGGGTACCCATGTTCCCAGTGTCTGGGTAGGGGGAGGCAGTTCCCCACGCAGTCATGCAGCACTTAGGTCAACGTGGCCTCGGGCTGCAGCCCCTGGGGCACGCAGCAGGCACAGGCCATGAGCACCAGCCTGGACAGCATGGGCTGAATCTACCAAGGGTGCCTGGCAGCACGAGCAACTGGTCCCTAGAAGCGTTGCATCTGCTGTCACTCATCCCTGCAACCCCAAAGCACCGGTGGCATCAGGACAGGGCAGGAAATGGGGAACCACTCTAGTTTTTAGTGCCTTTCCGGTCTTTATTTGTGCATCCTCTTCAGGCAGCAGTGCCCAGCTGAGCACCTGGATGAACCTTGCCCTTGGCACATCTGGGTCATTGTTCTGCTGCAGATCCATGTGCGAGAGAAGCTGGGGAAGCATTGATCCCTTAGCGATCCACCCTGGTGAACTATCTCCCTGAGCCTATGTGGTATGAGGACTAGGGATGTGGAGGGAGGGGAGACATGTCACAGGTTGCCTCCAGCACGGACGGTTTAGCACAGGGCTCCCTACACTCTTGAAGGTGCCCAGGAGAGCTCTGCGGTCCCATCATGGAGCCCAGCTCCCATCCTTGCCCAGTCCCATCCACAGCCACAGCAGCAGGCTCCTGGAAAGTCCCTGGCTCACTGTGTGTTTTCAAGACACCGCAGCAGCATCCTCTGGCCAGAGGCCAGCCCCGAAAACTGTCTGAGCTGCTGTGGAGGGTCAGGGCACGTGTTCCCTTCACAGGCATCAATCTTTGGCAAGTCTCTGGTTGCTCCAATTTGCAACCTGAAGAAAGCAGTCAGCTGAGCAGACCCTCACTCCAATCCCTCAAGGGAACGTGGATTGGAGAGGACCCAGGAGAGAACAAACTAAGGGCAGGGGTACTTGGCCATTGCTCTGGCTGAGTGATGCAGATACACCTGCCTGCCTGATCAGCAGGGTCCCCTGGAAATTTACATAGAGTTCTGTGCCCCATTTCACCTCCTGCCTCCCTTCTCTCGGAGCTCCCAGTTCATTCCTTCCTCCCCAGGTGCCTTGCTCTGTCACCTGTCCCCCCAGCCCAGGGAGAAAGCAGGGAGCTTCTGGCAATAAGCGAGGGGTGAGCATCCCCGTTTGCAAGGGAGTCACAAGGCAGACCGAACTTTTGGGATGCAGAGGAGCTGCTGGGGGTGGGGGATGGAGGCAAGGATTTCTGGGGCTCTCCAACACCAGCAGCCTCCAGCAGCACCTTTGTAAACCTATTTCTCACCAGCTTGGGCTCCTGCAGGCTCCAGCCTTTTCCCAGAGCTCAGAGGTGCAGGATGGAGACTGACACAGGGAGGGGGCCATAACCAGGCAGGGTGTCCCTCTGTGGTGTCTCAGCTATAGGGAACTCCTTCTGGCCACAGACAGGGAAACCACTGTGTCAGCTTGTAAGGACTCACTCAAGCCTCCATCCTAAATGCTCTCCACGTTTGCACCCTGCACCTCAGCACCAAAGTCTGGAGTTAACCTACGAATTACTTCCCTGGCTTCCAGCATCACAATTTCCTGGCATCTCACTCCATAATGCCAGGACACCCTCTCCCTTGATCTCTCAGCCCCCTGCTCATCCAGCTCTGGGCTGCCCTTCAGCCCTGCAAAAGCCCCCATCCCTTCCTTGCTTAACCAGACAACGGGGTCTGCTCCCGGGCTGGCTCGAGGCTGGGAGCAGAGGGTCCTTGGGTGCACACATGGACTGAGGGCATCAAGGGGAGCCAGCCAGGGGGACTGGGAATTTCCAAATCCTTCTGGATGCTGCCTCCAAGTTAAAGTCACTGCTAACAGGAACAGGGTCTCACAGCTCAGCTCAACCCGCTGACCAGCAAATTCCTTCCTGCAGAGGCACCGATTCCCAGGACACAGCGCAGAGGTAGCTCGCAAAGCCCAGCATGGAAAACCCCCATGGCTGGGAAGGGGAGCGGGCTGCCTGCCAGCCACACCGTATATAAACGCCATATAGCAAAATGGTCCTCGGGAAGCGGGAAAGAATTGCTGGAAGCCAGCGGCACACGAGCGGGGCAGGCTCCCCGCTGGCTGCTGCGCCATCCCCCAGCATTCGGCGAGGCTGATGGAGCACAACATGCTGGGAAGGGCAGGGAAGCCAGCTCCCCGGGAGTCCCCTCCCTGCACACGGGCGCTGGAGCCGGAGAGGGTCTTCGACCAAGAGAAGTTTACTCCCAACACACACACCCCCCCCAGCTGGAAATTTGGGTTCCCGGCTGGGTGTGGGTGCAAGGAGTTAACTCTTTGGTTGCTGGCACATCTGCAGAGCTGCTCAGCTGCTTCGGGGTAGGACAGGCTCACTGCAGGAAAACGTGCAGAGGGGTAGCAAGCAGGCTGAGAGGGACCCGAGCAGACACTGTGCCATGGAGAGATGCCCTCTTCCTACAGCATCCTCTGCTTGGCATGTGGTGCTGCCCATGGTGCTCCCTCAGACCTAAAAATCAAGGGACTGGGCAGGATCTGTGTTTCGTCCCCCAGTGGAAAGCACATGGTTGGGATCACTCAGCTCTCAGCCCTCCTGATCCAGGCATTTTTCAACACGCAGGATCCTTTGGGCTTAGGCTGTTGTGAGTGTGTGTATTTGTCACTTATGTCACCAGGAAATATTCAGTGCTGAAAGGGGTGATGGCTCAGAGCCTTTCCCTCCATGGCACAGCGGAGACCTCCACAGGGTGCCAAGGCTCGTGGTGGAAAGGGGACACAGTGAGAGGCTCCTGCTCTTGGCAGAGATGCTAGACCAGAGAGCAGGAAAGCTTCATGGAAGAGGAGGTGAACTGGTGCTTGCGTAACCGTCCAAAAACTGTGCCCCTCGCAGCCGGTCTTCAGCCCTTCCACCAACCACAGGCCCAGCCTTCCCTCTTCCGCCAAGAAGCACATCAAACCTCCATCCAGAAATCCCACAGTCTCTCATATGGCGGCATGAAACTCAGTGGAAACTGCTGGCACCAGCCCAACCTTCGTCGAAAACAGAGATGTAGCACGCCATAAATCGTCTCATGGCGAAGCGAGCAGCAGCCCCCAGAGCAAGGTGGGGGGTGGGTGCCAGCCGAGCTGGCAGCCCTGCACAGCTCCAAACAGGTGGGTTGGCTGGGCTCTGTCCAGACAGGGATGCACACACGCGTACACTGCGTGCAAAGGCATCGTCCTGGTTTGTGAATTCAGAG